TTTTTTGACGCCACCAGAAATTCTCCCAGAGGGTAAATCCCTGTTAGGGGAGAATTAAACAGACAGAAGACACCGATGGAGGATTTATTTCTTCTTCCAATTTCAAAAAAAATTTTAATCCGCAAGAAAAGGCTGCAGTTTAAAGCAGATCTCAAGGGCTAGGCTACTGGATGTTCGACAAAAGCAATATATGAACTGCAAGTAAGTCATTCAGCAGAAACCAACTCGCGGTCCGTCCGACAGTTGATGTGAATATGTGTGCTAGATTCCACAGAAATAAGGGTCCTTGGTTAATGCGTTGGGACACGGAAGCATTATCCACGCCTGGGATTTAGCACAAGACTATCTGCATGACGTGGGTGGGAGTTAGCGTTTCTATTCCCATTTCCCCGCGGGAAAGGGCATATAAGTGACTGCGATTGAAATCCACGAAACACATGTCGGGCTTTGAGCTAGCGCTGTGCCGGGAGTATCAGTCAGCATTCATGCATCGTGGACTGTCTGGCCCCGCCGCCAGAGGGAATAAACAGCTGACCTCCCTAGTTCGCACAGGCTACAGCGTGTTTCTGAGCGCTGTAACAGACGCGCATACGAGATGTGCCACTGTCCGACATTCCGACCATTGAGCAATTGCCCTTCCACACGGACAGTCGTAGATGGGGTAACGGGGAAGATTAGGGGCAGAAGAATAAGAAGCAGGGGGAGGGTATAAAACGACCGCTCTTCTGGTTTTGTAAATAATCAACATTCGCCTAACTCCTACTCCTAAGGCGACTTTGGTAGGAGGGTGGCAAGGTGCAGGTTTGCTGGCCACACAAGTTGTTTCATATTTTTTCAGCCGTTATGAATAAGAAGCTCTAGTTGTCTATTCCAAAGAAAAGTCGATTCTGTTCTGAGGACGCCAGTGGCGGTATAGTCAGCTGCACTTCGTTAACTGACATTGAGCAGTTTCATTTTTCAATTTGCCGACTTTACCTCAAGGTACAAAACCAGCTCAGCCAAAGGATAGCAACGGAAATGCAAACATTCTTGTGTGGGCTTTTCAAATTAAGCCGACATTTTTTCCTCTTCCATTCGCATGTATATTTTCTTATATATACATCGATTGACCCACTACGCCCATTATAAACCGATTTTTATCTCTCTTTGTTTAGTTGAACTACAATTAAGCCATCAATGCACGATGCTAGCACCGCTTTGAAAGCAATCTAATTTGGCCTACAACTTACGACTTATTCAAGGACATTCCTCCACGATGTCCACAATTGCAGTCATTAGTGAGTATAGATTACTTGTAAGTTCCTGATGTTGTGTAGTTTGTGCGCCTAATTTTATTCCTTGTGAATGGAAGAGGTTTTGCTGAAGATTTTGAGATAATATCTTCAAAATAAAGCGTCGCTCTCAAAGCTAATAACGTGTAACCGCGAGATACTGTGCACCACACTGCCTCAGCTATAAAAAAGAGAGAACGGCTTTATTTTTAAAACAGCATTCCGAACTTTTCAGCAAAATACAACCTGCATTCAACATGTACAAAACTAAGCGCACAAACTCACAACACTGGAGAATCAAAAGCAATCCATAATCGCCAATGACTGCAATTTTCGAAATCATGGATAAATGTACTTGGAATAATCGTCAAGTATAAGCCAAACTGGAGTGCTTTCAAAACAGCGAGGAATTAAAATCGGTTTATAATCAGCGAAGTAGGCCAACTGACACATAAGAAATATTTACATGCGAATGGGAGGAGGAAAAAATGGCGGCTCAATTTGAAAAGCCCCCCGAAAGCCTCTATTACAATTATTCCCGTATTAAACGCTAACGTAGCTACCGTTCTTACAGTGGGGTCGCACAATCAGTCATTACCGAACTCTTGCTTCCACAAGCTAACCCTAAGCATTTCGTTAAGCCCAGCCGCAAATGCAACCGCAACGTAACATGCCTACCAAAATTAAATAAGTAGGCATAGTGTAGTAATAAAAATAAAGACCTACATATTAGATCGCACGCCCAAACACTTAAACCAAAACAAACAATAAATATAAATAAACTGCGCCTTAAAATAGAAGATCAAAAGTGTGCAAGGGATCCACTACATCAGTACTTACACGATTCATGCAATCCACCGAGGCGGCATGCGTCCAAAAGCAGTCGTGCACAGACGCGAAGAGGATGCCCTCCCGGTAGCAGTGCAGGGCAGTCAGCATCATGTGGCAGGAGTCCAGCGAATGAATGAAGTTGGGCGGGAAGGCATTCTTCTGTTTGATGGGATTTGGTGGGGGCAGGCTGACCAGGGAGTCCTTGGCACCCTTCCAGGTACGTGATTTCTCGGCCAGTGCAGCGGCTCTGGTGAGTGCAGAGATGTCTAGGAGTTGTCGGTGCGAGGAGGAGCCCGACCAGAAGTCCACCTCGAGGCTGCGATAGGCGGACTTGACATAGGGCTGAACGACGGGCAGACCCAGGGGTGTCACCCAACTGATGCGACAACTGAGGTCCTTGGTAATGTGACGCGAAAGCTACAATAAAAAAGTTGTACGCAGTCTTTGAGCAGGTCTGACAAGGGTTCACAGCTCCAGAGATCAGCGGTTATTTCAAGGGCAAAAACAATAGAGTAGTCGCGGGAGCGAAAGGCAGTCAAACGGCATTTAGCGCTTTGAAACGAAAAGCAAAGTTCCCAGTCAGCAAAACGGCTAAATAAACGACGTTGTGCGTCAGTGCCATTGGCCAACAGCTGCTACATATTTGGCGTCACCATGTTAGATTCAGAAAGTGGCGAAGATTATGTGGTAAAAGGGTTATCGGATTGCGTTGGTTTAGTACTGGATGAAAATTGACAACATGTCGTAGAACACAGGGGCAGCGAAAATTTCAGAGCTACGGCCTGGGTCTATGGTTTTAGCCATCAAATGTCTACCCTCAATGCCCGCATAGACCTCGAAAAACACTGGTGGTTAAAAAAGATCGTTGACGGATATAATTAAAGCGTGGAAAATGCTCATTCTGCCTGGATCTCAAATGCTGGGCGGCGAGAACTGGTGTAGAAAAAAATGACAAGAAAAAAATTTCATTTCTGGTTTATGAGCCGTCGTCAGCTAGCCATATTCTGATTCCGGGTAGCTGGCGCTGCAGTAGCTGGTCACCACGCACTGGGCAAAACGCGTTATAACCAAGTCATGGGTTCCATGTCCGGTCGACTACAATCGGGGTATATAGTAGTAAAAAAGAGTTCGCTGAACTAGCTTAAGAAACACGCTTGTCCTGCACTGCTCTTCATAAAAACTTGCAAATCGAGACTGAAGTGAATAAATAAACCAGAAGTGGACAATTCAACCTCCAGTGTAGTTGTCGACAAGTACCTTATATGTACAGTAGATCGCCTATCTGATGCAAGGTTGGGGACTGGAGGATTAAACGCACACTTGAGGTTGTTTATTTAGTCCATTGGGTTGAATTG